AGCTAACTACATTTTTCTTCTTCATCAACAGATTTCTGTACTTACACAGTGACTTTACAAATTCATCAATATTCCATTCCAAAACAAATATGAATGCTCTTGTTATGGTAATACCACTGTGGGATATGAAAGGGCAGTCCTCGACCAGCTCTTTTTTTTTCTAGTATGTATCCATAGTTGCTTTTCTTTGCCATAGTCAGTCTGTTCCCCTTCCACTCCCTCTAGTTAAAGAAATAGCTGAAAAATATTTAAAGACTTTCCATCTGTTACTTGCAGAAAAAGAATACTTAAACAAGTAACATCCTCCACATCTTTTGCTCTATTTAGAAGAATATTTACAGCACCATATTTCAAAGTCATCATCAATGCAAGTGGATAGGCATCTTCTCTATAAATGCTAACTGGCTATGTGAGCTGCCTAAGCCACTGGTACACCCTGGTGAATAGAGTGATATCCTTCATCATACTCATATATAAAAGAAAGAAGCCTTGAATGTGAGAGGTTTAAGGATAAGCATTGAATCAAAGGGAATTAGTTAGTCTGTGTTTTATTTTTTGAGATGCAAATGTTGAATGCAAGGGCTTGATGGGAAACCAGCCTGGACGTAAATGTATATCTTTCCTCTACAATGAAATTGAATAAAGCATAGTAAGTCGGCTCTGCCTTCAAAGAAAAGGTAGCTTTATCATTATGAAGCCAAATCATACAAATCTCACTTAAGTATGAGGAATCCATTTCTTTCCTTTCCAACTGTTGTAATGAGTGCTACTGGAAAGACTCTTACATGCCTGGTGATTGATAGGAATGGATTTGAGTTACATCCATATAACTGTAATTCAGATTGAGAATATTGCATTAAGTGCAGGGAATCAAATTAACTTATACAAATCATTGAATAAACCTAAAATCTAATAAGGATACATTTCATGAGGATGAAAAAAATGAATAAGGTATATTTTCTGCACCAAAGATGTTTCTGGTATCAAAAATGAAATCTAAAGGTCTTGTAAAGATGTCTTACTTTGTAGATATTTGGCATACAAATAAAATAACCTTTTTAAAAAGTGATATTAAAAAGTAAGGGTTCAAACTGGCATTTAATTCTTTTTCTTAAAATCATCTATTAGCTTGTGTTTATTCCTTCCATTAATTTCTAGTATTTTGAATGAAATAATACAGCAACACATGCTGTAATTGAGTCCTTGCTTCTTAGATGTAGAACAGTCTTTACTTTCTTCTGTAGCCAATTACCTGAAAATGGGAATCATCAACATGAGCTTTAACAAGAGCAAGACTCAACTTTCTTTGCAACAGACATGAAGTAATTTAATCACAAATCCTGATGATTGAGAGAAAATGAATTTACTTAGTCAGACAGTCTCTCTTTGGTAGCACTTATGGGAACAGAAATGATCTAGATTTAACTTTAAAAGTGGAATTCAACTATAGCTGCCAGGATTCTGAGTTGGTCTGGTTAATTCCAGCTGTGGACATACATCTAGGATATTCTCTGCAGAAAGGAGGACTTGAGTGACAGCTTAGCAAAAAATATGAAATTCCAGGTTCACCTCACCTCTTACTTTTTCTGAGCTGTGTTCTTTAGTTTTCTCCAACAGAGAAATTGAACTATTTTACAGAGTTATGGAGATAGTGTGTTTTCTTTGTAAAATATTTAAAGAAGTGATGTCAATTGCAAGGATAAAAAAATATTTGAGTCTGGTAGTAACGCAGGCAGGTAAATCCTTCTCTGGAAACTTCCTAAGAAGTTTAGTCTGTGAGAAATACTCAGATATGAAACTCTTTGGTAGAATAGCTTTGGCAGATGAGGTGGTTTGCATGCAAATTGTCTATCAGTTTTTGTTATTGTTGCTATTTTGATTTTGTTTGTTTTTGAAACACAGCCACCCATTTCCCAAGAACTGAGAATATCATACTCTAGAAACAACCACTTTTTAGACATCTGTTTTCATCAAATTCCTTTACCTACAAAGTCCTCTAAAAACGTGGTGCATTTGTAGTTTGTCCTTCCCGACAATCCCCTCTTTGTGTATTCCCTGAAAGTCTGAAAACAACCGAGGACAACTTGAAGGTTCAAGTGTCTTTCTTAGTCTACCCTTTGCATATCAATATGCCCAACAATGAGTTTTACTCAAAAATAGGTGAGTTATTGAGTACAAGTCAAATAAAAAGTGAACTTCTTTCTTAAAGGAGAATTAAAATCAAGTTTGGTGTTGATAAAAATGAAATAAATGAAGAAAAAATACAAGTTTAAAGATAAAATGATCAGTGGTGGAAAAGAAAGTAAAACATAGTTTAAATTAATGTGCTTCATCACTGAAAAAGGATGTTAGTAAGAAACTTGGCTCATTACACACTTTAAATTCTCTGTTTACATTCAAAACAATATGATTTTAAAACACTGTGGTTTCTTCTGAGTAAATTTTCCTCAAATCTAACTGTTCCTTCAGTTCATTCACAATAACCTTTTAAATATTTTTCCAAATATTAACTATCCCAGATGTAATCATGCAATGAGTCCTCAAATACCCACCCCTCAGATTCAAACAGCATCATCATTTTACCAGCCTGTTTCATCCACCCAATCCCAAACACCACCTGTAAATGCTTGATTATAAATTTCTAATTATATAAAGTCCAATAGTCTTTTAAAAGATATAAAACACCTGTAATCCTAGCACTTTGGGGGGCTGAGGCTGGTGCATTAGCTGAGACCAGCCTGGCCAACATGGTGAAACTCCATCTCTACTAATAATACATAAATTAGCCAGACATGGCAGCGCCCACCTGTAGTTTCACCTACTCCAGAGGCTGAGGCAGGTGAATTGCTTGAACCTGGGAGGCGGAGGTTGCAGTGAGCTGAGATCACACCACTGCACGGCAGTCTGAGTGACAGAGCAAGATTCCATCAAAAAAATAATTATTATATATATATATATATATATATATGCAACAATTACCAGGAAAACTCTTCAAAGATTCCAGAAAGAATTGGTCATGTTTCTTATAAATTCTTAGTGGGAATTTCAGAAGCTCTTTCCCAGAATTGTTTTCTAATCTGAGTACCTACTCTGGGTGATCTTTACCTGCCTTTAGTTCCTATATCTTAAGGATGATTCAAGAGAATTCCTGCCCCCCACATATGGTGTCTGCAATTCTGAGAGGTGGTGATCTTTAACCAATTTTATATTTATCAAGTTTTGAGCAAACATGTTTTGAATGGACATGAGAATTATGTGGTAAAATAGTGTAGACTAAACAAAAGATTCTTGGGGGAGAAAAAAGCCAGAGGATGAGTTGTGCGGCTATCACTGGAAGGAAGGAAAGGGTCCAATGCATAGATTCAATTCATTTCCAAATATTTTCCCACTGAAGATTATTGAGTTAGATATACTGATGGACTCTATAATCACTGATTTAAAACTTGTGATTTATAATTATAAGTTTCAGATGATTTCTGAGAATGCTTTTTCTCTTCTGAATATACCAAAAAGAACCCCACAAAATTACAGGTACTGATATGTTTTCTCTTTGAAACTTGTCTAAATGGTGTTCAAAAACTTCAGTGCAATTAATCAATTCATAAAATACCTTGTTATCAATGTTTAATTCGCCTTCACAAAACATTCATTCTTCCTGACCGTTCTCCCTTAATCTTTCATTAATGATAGAGTGCTAAATGTTTCCCTTTTTGCAATTACTGTTTATTTAATAAAACTTTTGCTGTAGACCTCTCCTTTTCTGGGTCATGCAAATGGATGCCTTTGTGGTAGCATTTGATCTTTCTAGGAGACTTGATGTGCTTGATACGCTTTCAACTTGTAACTGAGATTGCAATTTCAGTTATATTCGGCAGAACTTCGAAATGGGATTTTCTTTCTTCATAACTCTCCTGAAAATGTGGCTCTTCAGGCAGCCAAACAGAGAAAGTTTTATTAACTAAAGAGAAAATTTCTGGTACCAAGTAAAGTAGCTCAGCTGGAAAGGTTTTGTTTTCTTTCGTGTGTGTGTCTGTGTGTGTGTGTGTCTGTGTGTGTGTGTTAACATCTATTTCTTTATAAGGATGAGGTCAGAATAACCAGTCTAGGTAAGTAATCAGGCCCTGTTGGCCCAGTATGTAGCTAAATAAATAAGAAAGTAAGTGTATTCTTGGCTCAGAAGCTAGCCAGCAAATTTGCTAAGTGATTGATTTGATGCTAATTTTCTGCCTGGACTTCTCATTTCCGTCTAAGCCTGTCCTATGGGAGGAAATCAATTCAGCCAAACTGACTGAGCCCTATTTTAGGTTTTACTTTGAGCTTTGAATGTTTGGAACACTCCCTTTCCCAGCAGGACTGTATCTCCAAAGGATTTCCACTTATTATGACCTCAGAGAATGCAACTTGCTCTGAAAAGACTGCAGAAGTTCCCTATATCCAAATCCCAATACATTCTGAGGACAGAATTGAAATCAACATATGCACAGCAGGCACCATGGTTTTGCTCACACTAATGCCCTTTATCTTTGCATCAGTACTCAGTGTTGGAGCAGGTCCATGCTGAGTGCCGGGACTATGTTTCTTCCCTAGCCATAGGTAGGCATTCTCATATTTTAATTTCAGAATAACCGCCTTCCTTGTCTTAGTGCATTCAGGAATTGATGAGAAGAATAGAGATTTTTCATTGCAATACACAATTTATGTGATGATTGCAGGAAAGAGAGAACCATGGCACATAAAAAATGTGTGATAGGATCCCAGAAAGAGCACTTAACTAAAGGCTATAAGTCTTGAGCCAGAAATTGTCTCTCCAGTACTTCTGGGCAAGTTTCTTTATCTCTCTAGGCCATTTGTAGGATGGGAGCCTTGAACTCCTGCAAGTTTCTAGTAAGAATAAAAGCAACTTTGTTTTGAAATCGTTCGAATCCAACGGAAGTTGAAGTTATGCTATCACATTGGAATCTCTAGTTATAGAATAATTTTTTTCAACATTTATTATCCAGGACCCCAAATTACGTGAACTTTTGGACGTGGGGAACATCGGGCGCCTGGAGCAGCGCATGATCACAGTGGTGTATGGGCCTGACCTCGTCAACATCTCCCATTTGAATCTCGTGGCTTTCCAAGAAGAAGTGGCCAAGGTATGGTGAATGGAACCCACTAAAGGTTATCATCATGATCTGAATCCTTGAGATATCATATTAATGCCTGCAAAAGACTGAATTTTTGTCATATTTGCATGTGTTAAAATTTCACCTAAAAATAATTTAGCTGCCAAGTGCAATTAAAACACTTCCGAATAATGGCATCCATTTAAGAATTATGACCTTTTTTCATTAAGAATAAGGCATTTAGCCGGCTGCGGTGGCTCATGCCTCTAATCCCAGCATTTTGGGAGGCTGAGGCAGACAAATCACTTGAGGTCAGGAATTCAAGACCAGCCTGGCCAACATGTTGAAACCCTGTCTCTACTAAAAATACAAAATTATCCAGGAGTAGTGGTGGGCACCAGTAATCCCAGCTACTTGAGAAGCTGAGGCAGGAAAATCACTTGAACCCAAGAGGTGGAGGCTGTAATGAGCCCAGATTGAACCACTGCACTCTAGCCTGGGTGACAGAGCAAGAGTCCATTTCAAAAAAATAAAAATAAAAAAATAAGGCATTTGATATTGTTTCTTTGCCAAACATAATACAGATAAAAACACATTCTATTTCATCTAAACACTTTCTCCCAAGTCATTCTCTTTTAGCCTCAGCCCTATGCCACTTCTAAGTCTATCTCATTTCCAAGGGGGACAGACATCTTCAGCCCCCTTTAAACTTCTTAATCCCTGTGTAGCACCTAGCTTACCAAAATCCATGTAGTAGTTAATTAATATGTAGAAGAATGAAAAAATAACACTTTAAAACAAAAATTTTAAATAATAATAAAACTAATACTTAAATAAGAACAAATAATAATTATTCAGTTATGGACTAGAAAGATAAATCAGATATGGTCCACTCATTGAGGAGCTGCTATTCCACTACGACTCAGCCTTTCAAATACTTACAAAAATAGCTAGAAAACAGGTATAATACAGCAAACAAGAAGCTGTGAACATCTAGGACCCCTGGGTTCATGTGTAATGCTTTCTCTAGAAATGTCCAATTGCCATTAAAAGAATACTGAAATGAACATATTTAAAGACGAGCTTTCTTTTTCTGTGTTTTTAGTTTGTAGAATACTAGTGATGGTCCTTCTCCATCATTTAACTTCCTTCAAGAGTTGAGATTATGAATCTAAGAACACTTTGAGTTCTGCATATAATGTACGTGCCTTACAGAGCTTCTGGTGTCATGCATCACAACTACAGAGTCACTTCACGTCGGTGTGCATTGTCTGAGTATGGTGACCTAGAGTTTTTAACCCTCAGTGCTCTGATGATTTTCTGAGCTATCCCAGATGTATCGGCCTGGTTTCTAATTCATTAGTGATTATTGACAGGGATTTATGTCTAACCTTTACTTAATATTGACTTCAATTATTATAACAGAATGCATAAAATGCCAGCCAGTTTTAATATTCTAAGATCGTTAGAAACTACTCTTTCCAAGTATGTTATAAATGAAATCTACTTTCTCTAAGAACCAAGTTACCCATTTATTTCTGTAGTATTATTTACAGTTGGAGAGATTTCAGCTCAATGAACATTGTCTATGTGGCAACATTGTACTTGTTCTGCAATAGCACTTATTCTTGTATCTGTTTGTAACATGTTGGGTTTCATATACGTTTTTCTATATATGAATGGACAGTTGGATGGATAAATGAATACAGAAAAAAACAGATTCTGAATGTTTGCAAAATATTTTTAAAATATCTTTTTTTTTTTTTTTTTTTTTTTTGAGATGGAGTTTCGCTCTTGTTACCCAGGCTGGAGTGCAATGGCGCAGGCGCAATCGTGGCTCACCGCTACCTCCGCCTCCTGAGTTCAGGCAATTCTCCTGCCTCAGCCTCCCGAGTAGCTGGGATTACAGGCACACGCCACTATGCCCAGCTAATTTTTTTGTATTTTTAGTAGAGACGGGGTTTCACCATGTTGACCAGGATGGTCTCAATCTCTTGACCTTGTGATTCACCTACCTCGGCCTCCCAAAGTGCTGGGGTTACAAGCGTGAGCCACTGCGCCCGGCCTTAAAATATCTTTCCCCCAAAACAAGTATATTCCTTTTTTAAAAAGGGACCAGTTTGTGAGATGTACTAAATCTCAATTAAAAACGTATAATAAATGACAGTGACTTTCAGGGAAGCATTTGCTAAGAGTGAATATATTAATATTACACATCAATCTGCATATCTTAAGTTGCATTAAGCCTTGGCACAGTCCTATTTAAAATATATTCAATTTCCTTCTCTCTGTGGGTTCCTATTCACTAAATTTCCTTAAGGATTTTTATCTCCAATCCCTGTAAAAATCCCCATCAGGAATATATCTGTAGAGATTTTCCCAGCACCTACTTGATGTTCCCAGTATAATTAATGAAGCTGTGGAGAATATTTTGCCTTCCTTGGTTATGATGTTCTATAGAATATCCCCTTCCCCTTGCCCCTCACCCCACTACAATTGCTTAGCCAGAAATTTAAGATTTCCAAGTACCACTGTTATCTTGCAGCATCACATATCGGAGTCACCTAGGGTGCTTGTTAAAACACAGATTATTGGTCCCCAGACCCAGCAGTTCTGGGATGGAGCTTGAGCATCTGCATTTCTAACTGGTTCCCCTGTGATTCTAATGCTGCTGGTCCAGACACCACATTTTAACAATCTCTTCCTTAGAGAAGCTTGGGCACAGTATTACCAGATCTTGAATTTTCTTCTAAAAGGAGCTGGAGAATCCATGAAAGATGTTAAATAGTGGCAACAGTTGTTTAAAAACACCATGTGAGCCAAAAAACACAACTGTGGTCTGAGTAAGACCTGGGGGCTTCCACTTGGCAGAGTTTTGGTCTAGATTCATATTAAGTAAGAAAAACATTGTGCTAAATAAAACCTCGGGTCCTGACCACTGAATACAATGGAGAAAGCACATAACATTATCTTGCAGAGCAGAATCAGCACTCCCCACCATATTTGTTCATTCTCTAACTTCCAAACCATTCTTCGAGCCCTCTGGGTGCCTAAGAAATGTCCCCTTTTAGCACAACCTTTTTCAGTAGACAGAAAGCCATCTGTCCCCTTAATGGTCATTGTGGAAATTTTTCAAAAGTTTTACAATAGCCACTTTTTTGTGACTTAGATTGGATCCTATTCTTAACCACAGCATCTCACATCCACTGTAAAGGAAAGAGAAACAGAATAATATAAAAGAAAATCTTTTGGATGTCTCCAGGTTCCATTTTTAAACATGTAACTTGAAAATTAAAGAAGAAGGGAGACAAATCATGCCTTTAGGCCAAATTTAAAAGTCAAGAAGAACATGATGGCTGCACAATGTTCTACAAGTTCATTGTACCCATTCAACCCATTGATTAAACAAATGCAAACATTCAACCCATTGATTAAACAAATGCAAACCAAACGAAGGAGAAACTACTGCTGGAGGAGACAAATATGGGGGATTTTCCTTGCTGAAAAAAGTAGAACTTTGTTGCAAATAAAATATGTTCCCATGAAAGGCCATAATTTTGACTCTTTTTTGGAAGGAGCTAAGCAGGGGAGAACTTATATTCATAAGTCCTGAAATTCAGGACCCAGGAAGGAACACAGTAAAGGGGAGAGAGCACTAGAGATGTCTATAAATCAGAAATGTCACCATTACTCTTCTGCCAAATGAATATGAGCCTTCAAGCCCTTAGACGGTTTGGATACATTCTTCATCCATGAAATGAAGACCTTGGATTCATTCACTCATTTATTCAACAGCATTTTCTTAAGCCTTCCACAATGTGCCAAGTCCTTGCTGGGCATAAAGCAGTGAAGAAAACAGATAAAACCCCTTGCCCATGTGGAGCATACATTCTAGTGAGGGAGACACTATAAATAAAATAAAGAAGTAAGACACACAGTGTATTAGGAAGAGATACTGATATTTACAAAAATGAAATAGGGAAGTAGAGTGCAGTAGAAAAGGGCATTAAATAGGGTGGCCAGTGCAGTCATCTCTGGGAGGTGACACTTAAGCAAAGATTGGAAGGATGTGAAGGAGCAAGCCAGGAGGATATCTAGAGAGATAGCACTGCACTTAGAGGGAACAGCAAGTGCAAAAGCCCTGAGGCAAAAGATAGTCCAGTGTACTTTAGGCACAGCCAAGGGCGAGCGTGACAGCAGCTGGGTAACCAAGATTGAGGGAAGGTAGTAGCAGAGGGGACTGAGGAGGCACCTGCAGTTGACTTTGCTGTAGGGTGGTATAGACTTTTGAAGGACTTTGGCTTTGACTGTGAGTGGGATGGAAGCTGCGAGAGAGTTTTTAACTGAGGACAGATATGATTTGACTTAATATTTAATCAATACTGGACTGCATGGGAAAGGGGCAATGATGGAAGCAAGCAGATCCATTACTAAACTATTGAAATATTTAGGTGAGTTGCTAATGACTTAGACCAAGGTGGAATGTGGAGGAAATTAAAAGGAAGCCAAATTTATATGTATATATGTATACACACACACACACACATATTCTAGAGGAATTTCTTATAAAGAAATTCATAAGCATAAATTCATATGCTTATGAATTTTATGTTGCATGTGAAAGAAAGGTTCATGGAATCAAAGATGATGTTAAAGTTTTGGCCCAAGAGGCAAATAGAGAAATACCATTTACTTGCAAATGGAAAATATAAAATAGAACTTTTTGTTTAGGAATACATAGGAGTTTTGGTCGTGTTCAGTTTGAGATTATTATTAAATACTCAAGTGGGGATTTTGAGTAGGCAGTTGGATATATGAGCCTGGAAATGAGTGCCAAATATAATGTGTAAATTTGGGGGTCATTGGGTATTTGATTGTATTAAAACGTCATCATACTTTTTAATGAAGCTGGATGAGATTAGCCAGGAAGTGACTGTAGACAGAGGAGATGTGCAAGGCCTGAACCATTGACACTCCAACATAAAAAGATAAGAAAGAAGCAGAAAAAAGGAGGCTGAGAAGAGGCAGCC